CCGCCCGCCGCCCGCCCAGCTGTCTTGGGCTGACCACCTCGGTCGGTCATGCAGAATAAGCAATGACGACTTGCGTGGCTTTGCGAGGCAGCGTGAGGGATTGGAGATTGGGAACTTGTGTTGTCGCAGCCAGTTATTGTCGGGCTGTAATACCCTTTTTGGGTAGATTTTGAATACAGCTGGATGGGTTCGATGATCCTTCAATCATAAGCCTATCAACTGAAGGATCGGGGGTCGTTTCTAACGTCTCAATATGGCAACTCGGACTCATTGGCTCAGTTGTAGGATGATCTTTTGCTGTCAAAATTTCCGTCCAATCAGCGCACGTAGACTAGTTGTCTGTACCTGGTGGGATTTTGACGATGGAGTCAGTCGTCGTGCCTGGCCTAAGGTCGAGCTATTCTCGTATCGTACCGCGCGGGAAGTGCATCTAGAGCGGTCGGCCGCCAAGGAGCGAATGTCTCTTCGTCTGACGGCATGGTGGCGGGCAAGCTGTAAGGCTGCCTTGGCCAACCCGCCTCCCCCCTTTCAACCGATGTATGTTGATGTAATCGACTTGTCTTGTCTTACATCGCGTCTTTTCATCGGCCATTTTGCCCACCTCGGTGCCTGTTCGCGTCGCGAAGTGCTTCCTTCCTGCTCGGTCTTTCGCCAGTGCTCTCTTTGGGATGGTAGAATATGCCCTCGCATGGGGAGGGCGGAGGAGCGGCGCAGGATAGCCAAGCGCACGGCGTATCTGCAAGATGTCGTCGCTCGGCCGAGGCCGGCATCGTGTAACAGACGCCGCACTACAGGTGTAACCAGCGCCCCAGATTATGTAGCTCGCTTGGGAGTGAGATTGTATCTCTCTGCTCCATGATTGGGCCATCTTCATTCCAGTACGGCTGTAACCTGGCTTCAGTTGTCAGCCTCAAAGCCTCGCGGGACAACGTCACTGTAGTCATCGTCACAATGGCTCGTTGCTATCTTGGTATCACTGCTCGATGTCGTCGCAGTTCACTGGCGAAACATGGAGGGACCGGCTTCGAACCCCAGGTTTACGTCCCGCTTGTCATCTGTTTCCTCTGCCCAACTTCAAAGCCATCAGAGGAGTCGAGGCGCGAGAGGATGCGAGTGCTTCCTGGGCAGCGCGCTTATGTTTCTGTCGTCCGAGCGACGATGAGGGTTGTCGTGCCACAGGGCTGAACGCACGATTCCCTGTGTGTCTCCTTCGTCTTTGGTCTTTCTTTGCTGTCAGGGCGAAGTGCTGAATCACCGAAGACCCGATGACCGACCGATACCGACACGACGGTTCATTTCAGAGACGATCCCATCGTTCGATTTCTTCTCTGTCCCTGTCGGGTGTGAGGTTCTCTCGAGATGCCCGAGAGGGGCCGGGGAGAGTTCTGGAACCACGACGTCAAGCAAGGCTTGATAATTGCATTCCCTTCCTGGCTGCCGGTACTTGGGGGTGAATGAAAGGTATTCTTTGCTCCTGCAAGACGACAAAATAAGTTTTAGAGACGGTCAAAAGTTGCTCTTGGCCTTGTAGATCAAGGGAGGTTTCTGGTTCGGTTGAGTGTGTGATTCGGACTGTCCATGGTAGTCCCCCGGACGACGGAGTTGGCATCTTCGGACCCCCAACTAAGGGTCGTTGCGCTTGCGGCCACACCCCTTACCGGCGCCACGCAAGTGCGGACATAGTCCGTTCGGGGACCTTTGGCCTAGATGCAATCCCAAAGTCCCAGAGAGAGAAAAAGACATCCGATAGAATTGGGCGACCAGGACACAGCGGCCGATCACCCCATAGATGGGATCTGTCTTTGTGCATCCACCGGCGACCGAATGTACATCCCCTCCGCCTCGATTATGCGCAGCGCGCCGCCGCCCTACATGCACTCAAACGGCGTACCGTCCCATTCTCGTCCTTCCCCTGCTTCTTTTCAGCTCATCAGCCTCGCCCTTGGAAGACAGCCTCCGATGTCATCCTTCGGCGGACGGGGGATGTGACAATGGTTGCACACTGGAAGGGCCGCAGAACCAAAGGTCGTTCCTTTGGAACTGGGTCTGAACAAGACATTGGGATAACGTGCCGGCGGGAACTACGTCTATGGCGTCCGGTTAAGCAAATGGCCCGCTGGTGGTGATAGAGCTTGGGGAGGAGAGAAGAAACAACATCCGGCGCGATGCTTGCTGTTCCTAGTCGCGGAACCCAGGCCTAGTAGCGTCTTGATAAGGTGCTGATCGTCGAGTATGAAGCGCGGCAGAGTAGCCGCAACACCGATGACGGGCCCTGTCCAATACGGGTTTGGCGCCGTCCCGGACGGACTTCATGCGAGCCTGCGGCGGTCTGATATTCTTTCTTACATGTTTGCTGTGTTCGGGTTCTATCGCAAGAAAGGCCGGACGACGGTGTCGGTGGTCGGTGATTACAGGATGCGATGAAAAGGGGGAAGGCACTCTCTTGGGTAAGGTGTCGGATTCAGGTTGGGATTGGCTCGTTCCATCGAATTGGTGGACCGGTGCCTCGAGATTCAACGGACGTCGGTGATGCTTAGCAGCGACATGTCCGACGTCGTCTCTTCGAACCCTGCCGCTGGAAGGATGAGTCCGGACTTGATGCTGTTGGTGCTGGTGCTGTCCCTTGGGAACTGAGTCAAATATCGAGTTGCATTGCGTCGTGCGAGGTATCCTTCGGCCGTTGTTCCTTGATGGGACAAGGACTGACTGGATGTCGGGGTGTTGATCACCTCATCTCGCGGAGCGGAACCCGGTGATTGTAGCACCTGAAGCTATCCCAAACCTGCCCATCTCTGTCTCTGGGTCTTCCCGTCAGGTCCATCCCATCGCCTTCGTGTCCGAAGACGCATGTCTGCTATGTGCCGGTCAGCTCGTTGTCCGGGACATATTCGCCCAAACGAGCAGCTTTGCCTGTAAGTGAAGCACTCAATGCCCTCCCATCCCGTGGGATCACAAACCATGCAAGCTCGGCGGCGGCATCGCCATTCCGCGGTGTTGCTTCTTCGTCGCCTGACGATCCCGTACCCCATTCAGCCATGCCACGCCTTGGAATCTGCCCTCGCACATGTGCTTACTGGCGGGAAGCATCCTTGTCTCGCCCTGCTTGCCAAACCTCGTACCTGCTGCTGATCTGCTTCACGCCGGGAAGGAAGACATCGCGGGGACGCCCGACCACGCAGAGAAGGCGTGTAAGTGAGCAGCGAACAACGCGGTGCGGCGCTCCGGAGGTTGTGGCAGTTGCTACGTGGTCATGCCATGGTTGCAATATGGAACCTTGCAGCTGAGGTTGTCGACTGCGGCTAGCTGCAGGTTGTAGTGTCTTGCTCTTACCGTCTGTCTCTGTTGTCAACTGCAACCTTGTCGAAACTGACAGAACTCTCAACCCCGTCCCCACGGACATCAAAGACAGGGACAGCTTCGGGTTCGTTCAGCCTCGTGAAGGAACGCATGGCTTAGACGCAAGTAAGCCAGCCAGTCCGAGGCGGCATCTTTCGGTGTTCGTCGCTTCGTTTCCCAGGGTTGCAAATTGGGCTTGCTTTCGTCTCTAGTATTTTAGAATTTGGTCCGGTAGTTGCGGTGCTTGGCGTGCGAGAGACCGGTTCCTCGGTTGCCCTGTCGACACACTTCGGTGATGATTTAGCAAGTCCGTACCCGAACGTTGGAATGCTGGTATTGTTGTGAGAACGTCGAACGGCGCACGGGCGAAACCTGTCAACCGTCGATCAATGTCCCACGGATCACCGACATCAGGACGATGTTCGGATGGCAGGCTAGGCCTAGTCCGTTCCCTCTTGGTTTCTCCTTCTCTTTGGTCTGCACCCCCTGGGCTAGCCTCCGGCTCGTTTTCTTGTGTCTTTCTCTTGTCCGTATCTCAATCCATCTTCTTTTCTTCTCTGAACATCAACATCCCTACAACAACGGCTCTCTGGCAGCAGAAGCAGCAAGTCCGCGATGACGAAGGGCAGACCTTACGCAAGAACGACGTCAACCTGAGACCTTGTCACTGGATAGGCCGTTCGTCTTTCTCACAGGCACAATCGGGCAAACGCCAGACGCCAGTGCTTACCGCCTCCTCCCGCTGTGCTTCTGTGAGAACGACTGGGGAAAGGGAATGGAAGATGGGTGCGCCCTGCCAGTTGACAGCAGCCAGTCGCCGCGAGCTGCACTTGCAGTTCTGAAACGCAGACGTGAACGCCTCAGGAGTCGTCCTCCCACACCCACTCCCAGAGATCTCTCAACCAGACGAAATAAGGATTCCCATCAACCATACAGAAAGCCGACTACGCGTCCCCCGTGATCACCAACGCCGCGCGGACCCTGCGCGTAAAGACGAATCCGGAAATGGTAGAGACTCAGGATTTGCTGGCGTACTCTTTCACGTCGTTGTGTGCCTTGAAGAGCTGGAAAAGCAGAGATGTGAGGATGGCATGGAGGACGGCGGACCACGGTCCAGAGAGAAAGAGGGGTAGACGAGAAGCGGAGCTAAGAGCTTCCCAATGCAAGTTTGGAACCAACTTTCGAATCACTAGCAACTCTGGACGAATGAGAGCAGGGAAGAGACTAGGAAATACCATGGTTACTGGGGTGCGGCAGGTAACTGTAGTGTGCTATATTGCGGTGAGTCGATGATCTTTTCTTTCTTTCCGTCTTTCTTGGCTTCTTCTCGCCTCTGTTCATCCCATGCCGTTTCTCTTTCCTGGCCAGGGTTTGCCTTCCTTCCCTTCTGTCTGTCTCTCGTCCGGGGTGTGGTCAAACTCTTCTCGGGTATGAGCTGAAGTGCTGTTGACCGACGGGCGAGGGATATGTTCGCACTAGCTCTGAGCCGTCGTCACATCGGATGATGGAGGGTGGGTTAGGCGATGATGGGACAAGATCGTCCGGACTGTGACGGATCTTTGTACAACACCCCCCGCAGGCGGCATGCTCCTAGTCCTTGCTGTGCCTCTTCTTGCCCATCGCCCCATATCCCTCGGGGGCCCTGCCGTCCCCTTCCCTCTCGTCTATATATCCCATGCCTCCTCCCCATCATCGTCATCTCCATCATCCACATGGACCTGTACGACATACCTTACGCCACCGCCCTTGCCAATGTCATCCAGTGCGGCGTTGACGGCTTGGGGGTTGAGACCTCGCATAACTCAGTGGGGGGGACACGATCATGTCGCCGGTCGACAACCTTCGGCAGGACGGTGGCCCTTTGCTGGAACAGGACTGGATGAGATTCGAAAGAGCCGTTGACGTTGCGCAATGAGATGCCCTTATCGGCCAGGGCGGCGGTGTCACCGCCAGTGGAGGATGCCAACATGATAATGGAGCCTGAAACGCCAGACACCTCGAAGAGAGAGACAGCGAGAGTTGGTTGACCAGACGCATAAGCCTCGACGACATTGATGATGGAAGCCCTCAAGATGGATTGGACTGTGGCGGCAATGGAAGAGGACGACCGGTCGATGACGTGGGTTGCACCCAAAGCCCGAAGGGATGCAAAGGACGACTCTGAAGAGGTGGTTATGATGGTTCCGATACCAGTAATGGATGCAAGCCGAACAATGAGAGAACCGACGGTAGTACCGGCGCCGAGAACAACCACGTGAGCGCTATGGTAGTCGAAGGTTGGGTCCGTGCCGGGAAAGGGGAAATCAAGGCCAAATTGATGGAATAGAGAAAGAGCCGCAGTGAAAGGATTGGTAACCAAGGTCGCAGCCTCGACAACGGAGATCGTCTCAGGGACGGGTATCAGACATTCGGCATTGGCGAGAACGAAGGAGGCTTGGCCACCCGCGTGAGGGCGGCGAAGGTTGGCTTGAAAGAGGACTTTGGTCCCAACGGCAGGATAAGAGGCTCGCACTTGGGTAGTCGAAGGTCGAGGACCGTGTTGGACAACTTCGCCGTCAACATCGATACCGAGAGTGATTGGAAGACGGGATGAGATGTTGAAGACACCAAGGTCACGAAGCTTTCGGTCGAGTGGGAGCAGGCCTACGGCATGAACACGGACCAAAATTTCTCCAGGTCCAGGACGCGGGATAGGCTGCTGACTCCATACAAGGGGTCTGCCGATACAAGTTAGGCACAAAGCCGTCTGAGATACTGTATTGCTGGAGGACATATTTGGACGATGGGTTCCAAATTGTGCAAAAGAGCTTGGAAAAGGTGGGTACTGGACAGCGAAGCTGCTGATGTTGATTGACGGCCTAGCCGCAGCTTGTCTCGCATTGTCTTATGTCGTCTGATGCTATCCAAATCTGGCGGCTTCATTGAGCCGAGATAAGGATCCAATGGGCCAATACGGGCTGTGTAATGATCGTGGATGGAGAGATCGGACTTATGGCTTGCGTCATGGTCTAAGGAACCTGCAGTGCCGATCCGGCCACGGGCAAAGAGGAGAAGAGCACAGCGAGGCAGCCGATGATTATCAGACAGCAGCAGATGACTATCCAACAACACCAGCAGCAGCAGAAGTAGCAACTGGGGTCGCGGCTACGAGCTTGACGTCTGCTTTGAAGTTGCTGATTTTGTGAACCCATGGCAGGGTTTCAACAAGGTGGGACGTGTAGCGCGATATCCTTGCAGTATTAGGCCAACAGCTTGGTGATCCTTCAGCGAAACGGGATGATGGTGATAAATTGCCCTCCTGGAAGGATTGGTCGGAAGGATTTGTTCTGCCGGCCGGCTCCGGCGTAAACAATCCCGGAGCGGGATACAGCGACGTTGTTCTCTTTAGACTTCTTCGTCAAGCACTACAAGCGGTAAGTATTAGATGGTATGAGGCATGAACTGGATCACCCACTGTGATGATGAAATGTTTTCTGCTCAGCAGGCTGTGGCAACTGCAGAATGGACACCACCTGCAAAAAGAATATTTCGAAGAAGAATAATCGATGGTTAAAGAAAAGCTTTTGGCGCAAGTAGAAGCAGGTGGCTGGTCCATTATTGCCGAGTGCGCCTGCGAGGTGCAATGATTATTTCCATGTCATCTGGACAAATACCGCGGATGTCGCACTGGCTGCCGAAGATGTCTGAGCGCGTTTGTGCTTAATGCCACTGGGCGCTTGGGACGATGAAAATGATCACTTGATACCGAGGCGCCAGGCGCCATGAACTGCTGAGAATGCGCAACCGCCAGCGTAATTGCATGATGCTTGGGCTTCTTGACAGCCCCTGGAATGTTCCATCTCAAGAATAGAATGTCGGTCACTTTGGCTCCCAGATTCCGTGTTGTCGACAACATCAAACGGCCTTTATGCCCTTGGGCCTTCAACGACTGATGGTGGTTGCACGAAGAGTTGTAGTAACGTCATAGACAGTCTGAGCAGATTGTCTAGCCAATCGAAGCTTGCTTTGACTTTGGCGGCAACTCTGAAAGTCATGATCCACTCGTTTCGGATCGCAAGCTCCAGCCATGGATGTGGGCTAGATCAGGCTCGAAATATTTCCAGTTCTCACAGAACTGATTCGCCCCATCGTCGTCATCGTCAACCGTGATGGCCGTCTTTCTCGGACGTGGATTGACTGAGAGGTGCAGTGGATCGCGGGTACGTAGATAGTAATGAGTGTATTGTGATTGGCTGGTGATATAATTGGCGTTGTGAGCGATAACTGTATCGCATCAGCCTCTTGCGCGCTTCCTTTGAACCATATGAGATGTTCGTCGACGTGAGATTGCTCGTTCCTGGGCATTGAGGAAATGACGGCCGATTCAAGTAAAATTGAAGTGCGCCAATTGAAGCCGAAGAAGCCGTTGACAGGATATAGTCATTGATGACGTGATGACTAAGCTCGGTTAATCATCGGTCTTATCCATCTGCGCGGGTCGCATTTTGGTGGGAGCTGGCCGCGATTTCGATGCCCCGAAAGCTCCAGTGTCCAATTCCAAGTCGCAAATCTCTGAGAGCTTCTACTGCCGGCATTGAGCTTCCCCAGATGCCGCAAGTTTTGTAGTTCGCTCTGAAAATGCCAAGGTATGTAGTCAGAGGACTGCGAATTCCAATCACATCGGCTAATTGAGTTCTCAGGACCCCTCAATTCAAGTATTAAACCCACATCATGAGGGCGCAAATTGCCCGCCATGTCTCTCGACGGGTCGTCGTACCGAGGGGTTGCGTCCCTGCCTGCTCGATTCTATCGCGCCCAACGTGTCGCCATGCCCAGCTACCGGTAGCATCGACAATATCTCTTTCACGACGAGCCCCGCGTAGGACTTTCTTCGGCATCCTCCAGAAGCCGCCGCGACAAATCAAGAAACCCGAGTACGAGCCCGGTTGGACAACGGTGTTGACGTGGAGGAATCGCCTACTGGAGAGCGTACGGCCACCGACAAGGACAGAATTGGTGGAAGCTTTCCGAGAGCTTTTCGTCTACAAGCTGCGGTTCAACGTGGTTGTCAACAGCACCCAAGCCCTACACTGCAGAAACTTGCTGCAATACCTGCTGGAAAATAAGGATGATGAACCGGGCGCCGGACTTACGCTGGCAGAGCTCGTTTCTGCGCGCGAGGCGCTGCTGAAACAGCCAAAGGAAGACACGAAAGAGCATCTGGAGTTTTCCCGCCAACTGTACGAGGCAATTAAGGCGGAAAGGGCGCAGGATCCGATGGACCCTGGCGCGGCAGAGGACTTTGAATCTTTCCTCGTCGCTTTGACGCTTTTTGGGGCGTCAAAGGATGGTCTCGTTGTCTTGCAAGAGTACTGGGATCAGCTCCCTGTGGCAGAGAGACCAGCAGCCCAGAATCTCTGGGTCAATGTCTTTCAAGGCCTGGCGGAGGAGGGGCGCGAGTCAGAACTCGTTGATGCTGTCGCGAAGTCAGAGACGCTTGGCGTCCCATTCACGTCAAGTATCCATGAGGCTTTGACAGTCTTCTTTGCGAGGAAGAACAATGTGTTGGAAACGAAGAAGTGGTTTTTGCGGCCAATACACAACGAAGAGCGTCCGACCGCCAGGACTTACAAGGAACTGCTACAATTTTCAGTTAGGACTGAACAGAAGGGCTGGACGACGCCGATCTTTAAGAAGCTTGTGGACTCGAATCCAAGCAAGGAACACTGGGATGTTATATACCAGTGGGCCGTGCTCTCTATGGGCAAGAGGCTTGACGACCTGAAAGGCATGTTTGAGGTTGTCGCCCGCCACAACCCCGAAGATCCCACCAAATCACCGGATACTGATACCATAAATGGTCTTCTCGAGGTCGCTACCGAGAAAAACGACCCTTACTTGGCAGAACGGCTCATCGCGTTTGCTTCTGAGCTCGGTATCCGCCTTAACGCCAAGACATACCTCCTCCAAATGGACTTCAAGATCAGGGCAAAGGACTTATCTGGTGCGAGAGCTGCATACATGCAGCTCCCGAAAACCGAACTGGAGGGAGACGAGGATCTACCGTTGATCAACAAGTATCTCCAGGCGCTTTGCCACCAACCGACACCAGATTTGAAATCCATTCGTGAGATTTCGGATATTCTGGAAGAGCGCATCGTAACACTTGACCCTGATACAGTGGTTGCGTTGTGTACAGTCTTCCTGAAGAACGACCAACAGTTCGAGGTTATCGACACACTGTCCCTGAACGTATTCCAACATAGCAACGAGCAAAGACAGTCCATTCGGGACGCCTTTGTTGGGTATTGTCTGGATAGCAAAAACAGCACGGCGAGAGTGTGGGATGCATACTCAATCCTGAGGCAATTCTTCCAGGAGACTAGCATTGAGAGTCGCCTTGAGCTGATGGATGCTTTCCTCGCCCGCAACCGTCCCGACATGGCGGTCCATGTGTTCGGACATATGAGGCAACACGTAAACCCCGACTTCCACCCGGCCAGCGACGCCTACATTAGGTTTTTTGAGGGCATTGGCAGATGTCCAGACTTGGACAGCTTGAAGCTAGCGCACAACATGTTAAAGATGGACACCACCATCCAACCAACAACGAAGATGTACAACGCATTGATGATTGCTTACGGCGCTTGCAAACGACCGAGTATCGGACTCGATTTCTGGCAAGATATTGTTCGTTCGGCCGAGGGCCCATCTTACAACAGTCTCGAGATCGTGTTCTCGCTCTGTGAAATCAAAGCCTTTGGGGATCAGATTGCCAGGGACATCTGGAACAAAATCGAAAAGATGGAGATTGATGTTCCTCCGCCGGTATTTGCCGCTTACTGCGGTGGTCTCGCGGGTAACGGCAATCTTCAGGAGGTGCAGAGCACGATCAGAACGATGAAGCGAGCTGTTGGATATGGGCCTGAGGCGATGACGTAAGTTATGCCTTGACCTTTCCGACCCCGATACGAGCAGCTGACATCCATACAGTTTGGGCATCCCTTTTAACGCTTTGCCTGGGCAAGGGTTGCAAAGAGATTTTGAGGCATGGGCCAAAAAGCAGTTCCCCGAGGAATGGACAGAGGTGGAGAAGCATCGCTACTACATCACGGCGGAAAAGTTGAAGAAATTCAAGCTGCAGCGGGTGCTGAAGGCATGATCTGTACAAAAATGCTAGAAAAGCTTCTTGTATCTGTACAAATATAATAGACGCCGAAGATGTTGTACAATTCATACATGGGGAGGAGTTACCCATGTTGATCCTAAGGTAGACAGACACGTCCACTTTCCTCGCCTTCTACACAGCCATCACGTTCTTACCTCCATGCCTGCTTGAACGTCTTCTTCAGAATCTCGGGATGGTGGTGCACACTGGGATGGATACCCATTCCAATGGCTCTCCGGATAGCCTTCGTCATCCTCCTGTGGTTGACCGGCCTGAGTCCCGTGTCCTTGGAGTGCATGATATGTCCGAAGGAGGTCATGAATTCAGAGACCATGGCGAAGTTCTACATTTCCTGTCAGCGTCTGAAGAAAGTTGCGTCGATAAGTCCCATTAGCAGGGATGCGACATACCCTGTAGTGGTCCTTGGGGTTGATGCCCAGCATGTCGATAACATCAACCTCCGGCTTCCGGATCTTCCTCCACTTGTCCATCTCCGTAGGGCTGAGGTCATGCGGGGCGTAGACGTTGCCGTTGCGCCAGCGACGAGGCATCTGCTTGAGGTAGTCGTCGCTAATCTTTTGCTTCTTGAGCGAATCGAGCATCGTGCGCTGGCGGATAGCAGCGTTACGTGCTCCGCCCAGGGAGTTCTTCGACATAAGAGTCCTAGCTCGGTCGATAGGCGCTTTCTCATCGTCGAGGCCCAGGAGGCTGTCGGTATTCGAGATTGGTCTTCTGGGCTCTTTATTGAGGTTAGCGCTGCGTGCATGTCTGGGTAGTGGGAGGCATTGACGAACCAGCCACAGCAGGAGTAGCGGAGAAAGGTCGCGCAATCCGGGCCATGAAGGCGCTCGGGGCCTTGAAGGCCGGGAATGACGGTAGTCTCGGCGGCATGATTGACTTCTGGGCGGATATGGTCGATCCCACAGGCGTGGTTCGTCGCGGATGTTGAGGCTGTCACGGTATTTTTTTGGTAGGCGGACGGGATATTCCGCCCCACAAATGCGATAAGCACCGATAAGGAATTTGTCCCACCTTAGCTCCAGAACTTTTTCTCTACAACAACCCGCCAACCATCACCAGCAAATCGTCCTAGGAGTACGCAACGCCGACAGCCCAGCATGGTCCGCAAGCTCAAGTTTCACGAGCAGAAGCTTCTGCGGAAGCACGACTTCATCACATACAAGCAGGTACCAACACAAGCCTACGCTCGCGAAGTCCACAGATCCACGCGCATTGCTAACAGTTTCTGCTAGGATGGCGATCACCGAGATGCGGCAGTGGTATGGCAGAACCAAGGAAAAGATGCTTTCGCGACCAACTCTAACACAAGTAACAGGTGCGCCGGTATATGATTCAGAAGCCTGAGGACTATGTGAGTATTGCCGCGACCATCATACTATCGACACCCGCTAACAAGGACAACCAGCACAAATACAACCGGCTATGCGGCGTGAGTTTGGCACCGATCGCTCCGACTCGAAACACATGGGATCGAGCAATCCACCCGACGACAACTAACACATACTTTTGCAGTCCATCCGTCAATTGGCGCATAGATTGAGTCTCATGCCCCCCGAGAGCGCGGCTCGACGCAAGCACGAGAAGCTCCTCCTTGATAAGCTGTACGACATGGGCGTTTTGTCTTCCGCATCAAAGCTTTCTGCTGTTGAGCACAACGTCACCGTGAGCGCCTTTGCTAGGCGGCGTCTCCCGGTCGTCATGACTCGACTTCGGTATGAAAGCCAGACACAGCTACTGGATCCGCAAAAGCAAATGCTAATCGTGTTTCTCAGGATGGCCGAGACCGTTCAGGCGGCGACGAAGCTCATCGAGCAAGGCCACGTTCGTGTGGGTACCGAGACATGCACCGACCCGGCATTCCTGGTGACTCGCAGCATGGAGGACTTTGTCACCTGGACCGTGGGCAGCAAGGTGAAGAGGAACATCATGAAATACCGCGACAAGTTGGACGACTTCGAGTTGTTGTAACACGGGACGATTTTACTTTCGGATGAAGGCCCTGCCGCCTGGACGGGATTTGGACTTCGACATTATCTGGCGGTGTTAAGGAGTTTAGGAGGACAACAGAAACGTTGTTTGGTTTATCGCAAATAATATGTGTCGACTTTGAGTCAGCAACATCCAAGATCTGGAAAAGTTCGGCGAAATCATCGGGGAGATGTGCGACAAGTGGCGGTCGGCATAGAACGCAAAAGCCTGCTGCTTTGCACTGCGCTCGATTGTCGCAGCGTCATCAATGCGAACTGCTCGCAAGTTGTGGGTGAGCCGCGGGCGGCCGCGGGCGGAAGTTTCGCGATTCGCTATTCGCATTTGCCTTTCTCTTTTGGTGGCGAACGCCAGCCGCCATCATGGCAACTGATGCCTATTTTCATCACTGCCAGCCCATCATGGAAGAAACTATCTTCGGCAATACGAGCAACTCAACGAGAAAGCGAGGCTGGAAAACATCAGACTTACGTCGCAGAAGCACGTCACATCAACTCTTTGCGGCTCTGGTTGAGGAGACGAACACTTTGTGGAGGGATGAAACGGTCGCAAAAACCTTGACTATAATGTCAGCCCAAGTAATATGGGATCGGACTATCGCATGAAATTTGGGGAAAGCTGAGCAGCCTGAACGCGGTAGCCGAGGCCGCTTCCCCTTTGGGAAGTTATTGAGACGAAAGAGCCGGTGACTGTGAGTCTTTGGCCTGTAATGGTCTGAATCCCGATTTTGTCTAGGATAGCCATGCTGTCCGAAGGCCGGAACAAAACTCTCCTGCCCACAACAGACAAGAAAAACGTGAAATATCGTCGGAAGATAACTCTATGGGGCTGAGGAGGGTGTTGGCACGGACGCCATGGAAAGGGGAAACCGAGTCGAAGACTGGATAACCCCGTCTTGAAACAGGGTACATGACCAACTGATACTGCGAGCCAATGGTCTGGATGGCGAAGATCTGATCTTGCCCAATCAGAAATGGGATCGCGTTCGGTTTTGAGGTCATCGTCGCCTCTTTTGTGTCTGATGTTTTGCACCTTCTTTCCTTTGAGGGTGTGCTCGAACATCAGCGCACAACGATGGAAAGGGGCTGAAGAATGTTTGAACGGATGAATCGGGGGCCGGCATGCCTCCCCAACCGCGACTTGTCCTTCCTCTCTGCTGTGGCTAGAACTGCGATATAATAAAGTGTCTTCCGGACTACACCATCCCCAGCCGACGTTGCATTCCGGGTGAAGCACTTACACACTCTTTGATAATACCTTAACATAGCGCGCTGGTCGACTATTACGCTCCTTAACCAAACTCAGTCGCGAACCCCTCTCTGGGATAACATATAATCGACGACAATCCTTTTTTGGTAAATTTAGTGTTTTCTAGGAGGATTTGCGAAAGAAAAATCAGTCGAACATTCCCCCAACGTCTCATCGACTAAACAAGCCATACGCGAGACCATCGAAGAGTCCTTGACAATGTCTGCCATGAAGTACGCCTTCTTGGCTACAGCAGCCATCCAGGCCGTCAGTGCTCATGGAACGGTGAATGGTATCATGGCGGATGGAGTCTTGTAAGCGCGGACCCGATAATTTCTCTCTCATATAGCCTCACGGTTCACTAACACGACACAGCTATGAGGGTTACAGCCCGCAAATGCAGTACAAGAAGCCCCCGCCACAAGTCGTCGGCTGGTCCATCCCCAAAGACCTGTCCAACGGCTTCGTCGCCGTCGACAAATACGCAGACCCCGACATCATCTGCCACGTCGGCGCTGAGCCCGCCCCCATCGCCGCCAAAGTGACGGCCGGCTCCAACGTGACCGTCTTCTGGACCGACTGGCCCGAGTCGCATCACGGGCCCATGATGGACTACCTCGCCCCGTGTAACGGCGACTGCGCAAAGGTCAAGAAGGAGGATCTCGAATTCTTCAAGATCGACGCCGTCGGCCTCGTCGACGGGTCCAAGGCGCCGGGCAAGTGGGGTTCCGACGATATGCTCTCGAACAACAAGTCATGGACGATGACGATCCCGGCCAACATCGCTCCCGGGCAGTACGTGCTGCGCCACGAGACGATTGCGTTGCACGAGGCTGGACGCGAGGGCGGCGCTCAGAACTATCCGCAGTGCGTCAACCTCGATGTCCAGGGCGGAGGATCTGAGAAGCCCAAGGGTGTCAAGGCGACGGCACTGTACAAGTCTGGCGACGACGGTATCAAGTTCAACATCTACAAGGACAATCTCGATTACCCCATACCCGGCCCGCCGATGATGGGTCAGGAGGCGAAGCCAACGCGACGCAGAAGGAGGGTGACCGTCATCTACTGATTTGGGGAAACCCGCTCTTTTCGTTTCAGTGTACAATCTTGTTCTCTTCTGTGTTGTATTTGTACGGATATACGGATAACGTTCGACACATGATGGGGTGTATGGAAATCATTCATTTGGCTCAACAATACCTGATGTGACACGCTGGACGTGCATGTCTCCTTTTCATTAACTGGAGCCGTTCATGTTCCCCTTTGATGAAACTTGATGACGGGCATACAATTTGTGTATAGAAGGCGGTCCTGCGAGATGGAGTCACGAGCAAGCGAGCATCCATGGACTTGTACAAACATGATGTACAGTAGCTTATGAAGCGTGTTTTTGAAACATGAAAGTTATGCTGCACGATCGATTGCTGTGATACGGTGCTTCTGAGCCCGCACTTTACGGAGCTGAGATGGACTCACCCGTGCCCAGGTTCTTTCGGGGCGGTACAGGATCTCCTTCGTTCTCCTCGACTCCTGGAAGACGATCCCGGTGCAGATCCGATAAACATGATCCCCAAAGCGACCGAGGCCGCCCGCTCACCGACCCAATTTTTGTTCCTCCCGAGGGGTTTCACAAAACATCCTGCGCCCGAGACGCTGCCGGGAACCGAATCCCGTGGGCTCTTCTCCTCCTCATCGGCCCCGACCACAGCGGCCCATGGTTGACATGGCTCACCCGGATGTCCGTGAGGTCCCAGGTTGCAGATCCCTGAGCGCAGGATGAAAACCTGAAGCACGGTAGGCCCCAATAACACATTTCATTATTGACCGGCCACCGTGTCCAGCAGCACTTCATTCGTGCCCGCTTTCGTATGCAGATCGCCTGTGGCTGCCCATTGCCCCCTTGCCTATATCCCTCGATCTCTTGTGTTTGGTTTCTTGCGGGAAGCATTGTTCAAGCCTCGGCCCCCTCGGGAGAAGAGAAGCTTGGTGTCACTGTATGATCTACCGTGTATCATCCTCTCCTCATTATGCCCACCTACCTGCGCACGTATCACGGGAGGCAGTGCAATGCCGAGATGTGGCTGTTTTGTAAGCTTAACACTCTGGCCGGTCCGACTCGCAGGAAGCTTAATAATGGCCCGTGAGGACGGCATCCCACTAGTGCTACAACGACTCGCCTGCCCGAACTTCATCGTCCGATGGCGCCTGTGATTGAACTTCATTTGGGCTGATGTTGGTGATTTGGTCTCTTGAAGGCCCGATGAGATGCATGACAGACTGTCGTCAACTGGGGCTTGACATTTGTTGATGCGACTATCGCTCGTGCGCGATGAAAAGATGACATGCCGGAGTGCTGTTAGCAATATTCACGGAAAGAGAGGGCAGATTTCTGAATTGGGTGGATCAGAAGCTTGGGATTGAGACACCCGCTTCTTCAGGAAGTTGCCGCGAGAGGAAGGGGTCGGGTCGCGCGCCTCACTCGGAAAGGACTTGCCCAGGATACCACTCACGTTCTATGGCACCAAGGAATCAGGAAGACCTGGAGATTCATCTTTCCTTCCAAATTCGAACCCCTACTGTATGGTGGGTGGCGCGCCTTGAGTCATAGTAGCCAATGACCTTGTATGCAATTCTGAAGCCGAGGCCCTCGCGTCTTCTATTTGAGACCGAAGGTGTATAAATGATTCGTTGCAGGTGTACTTCATGAACATACCTATCTAGGTAGCTTGCTTACAGTGTACGACGGTATATCTTCAGAATACAGCTCGTTTGAATAGAGCCGTCTCCTCAGATACTACCCTGGGTTGGCAACGAGACTTTCCATATGTGCTTGAACTATATTCATCTCCGTCCAAGAGAATGGAGGAATCAGTAGTACATTCTGGCCACAGACAGTTTTCTAGCCCCAAGTCACAACTAAAAATAGGAGACTGGTGTCGCGGGAAAGAGCGCATCTAGTTTTGTTCTAGAAACTCGGAGGACAGTCGTCAACAGAGGCTGCAGATGGGTTCAGCATGAGCGGCTGAGGTACTGAATTTGAATCAGGATTTCCTGATTACTATACCTGAAGTGCCTCCACTGAACCAAGGGAAATAGTTCCGCATTGTTGCGCTTTCCCACTGACATCCATCCTGTGTCTCAAAATGTTCGTTTTTGGAATGTATAGCCGGTGGGAGATGTGCACGAGACGGAGGAACCCAATGCTCTGCTGAGTCGCGTCCTGCAATGTCAATGGAAAGCTGGGAACCATCGTGTCGGTACTTTTCATTCCATTGAGATTCATTTGACGTTTGTCACCTCCCGTCCGTAGATGCGAGCCGGCAAGGACGGCATCTAGAGTTTTCAAAATGGAAAGCGGGCGTCAACTCCAAAAAGGTAAAACTGTTTCCCTGGAAGACTCGAGTGAGATGAATCAGAAACTTTTTTTGCTCATGTGTTAGGGTATCTTGTTTTCAGTGTCGGCCCATCCTATTTACAAAAAGAGCCGCCCTCCAGTCTCTCGTACTCGCTCACCATTTCGTCGAGGCTCTCGGATTTGCTGTGCCGCCCCTGGCCTTCTCAGACACCATGAGCGGCGCTTTTCGTGCTCCACAACGCCCAACTCTGACCGTGACTTGGCGTCCCTATGTGATTCAATTGCCCGTTGGATCGTCGGCTTGATTTCCGTTCCGTATATCTCCGCCATTCCGCGAATGCCCCTCCCGCTTAGCCAAACTTGCGGCTACCGCCCTTAGGACCCTTCTCCTCCTTCTTGGCCTTCTTGCCCTTGCCGATCAGCTCAAGATGGCCGGCACGCTCGCCGAGGAGCTTCTCCGTCTGGTTGACGAGACCCGCCGCGAACTTCTTCTGCATCTTGTCGGCAGCCATGCCCTTCTTGGCCTTTTGAGGCTTCGCCACTCGTTGTGTGTTCTTCTGCTTCTGCTGCTTGGGCTTGCCCGTCGGCGCGGGCCGAGACGATGACTTCAAGCCGCCTTGCGCCATATCGTTTGATGATCTCGCTCGCGCGGGTCTGGCCGCAGAGTGTTTGCTTCGTAGGGAGTTTCGGCGACGGACGTCGGCCGCAGTCGCTTCGTTCGCAGGTCAAGAGTTTGGCCGATCGCGTGGTGTGCTCGTGATATGTGCACGATTTTGAGTACTCTTAGCCGGATGGAAGTGCTGCAGAGGTGATCTGACTGATCGCGGTTGTTTAATGAAGACGTCGTAACGCTTGTTCGTTGTGGCCTGGGAGGAGAATGGGAGAAAGCGAATGCTGGGGCGGCAACAACCTGAGAAAATTTTAGTGGATCCGATCTTATCTTCACCGACACACCGACCCCGCCCCCCACTTTGTCCCAGATACAAAGTACGTACCTCATGGGACCCCGGATTCCTCTCTCCGTCGCCTCCGTTTTTCGCATCCCCTCCACAACCGCTGGACTTTGGAGGTTTAACTGTCAGTACGTTCCGTCGCGATCACATTCAGCCTGTTCAGAGAGTACCAGCCCTGAAGGAACTTGCTAGACCTACGATATTTCGAACATGAATCGACCACCTGAGAGTGGACTCCCTGAACTCTGCTGTTGTAGGTATCATAAACCGTCGTCTACTCTGTACCGTGGTCAGATGTCTCTCATCACATGCCCATCGATAATCTCCGGACAGTCCTAGCCGCTATCTTCTCGCCTCCCAAAGGCTAGGAAAAGATGGAACGGTCGAAATCATTGCAGAGAGAAAGGATGAACGGGCGAGGCATCCTACAAGCTGCAATTGCTGCGCATCGTATGGTACGAGACAGGTACGGTTGGGTTGTATTGCAACGGTACCGGTATTATGCACAATATTGAGGCGCATTTGTGCATCGGTAACACAATGATACAATGGACGTTGAGCCTCGACGGTAGGAATGCCGTAGTGTTTGAGCTACGGGGCTTGTGTGCAATGGTAGACCAACAAGCCGTCGCCCAGCCTCCGAAGCTAGAGCAATCCAAAAACGTGTGGAAGTTTTCTCGATTCGACACATCTAGACGGCGTATGGCCTTCTAACCAGTCTCGTCCATTGCACCGCTATGGATGTTGTCTGGCAAGTTTGACACTTTTCGGCACTTGCCAGCAGTTACTTGTGCCTGGAAGAAGGTTGGGAATGTCCACATCGCCACTGCAGAATGGATGCGTCAGGTTATCGCCTTGCTTTGGCCTGACATTTATGATATCAGCTCCGCGTGACGACGATTGGTACAGTACTCGAGATGCCTCTGAGGTTCTGCCGACCCTCGCGTTCAAGTGAAGTGGAATGCACTCATTCAATTATTCCGGAACGCGAATCTGGTGATGCTTCGTTGAAGCCACGCACCATCCGCGCCGTTACATCCTTCCCGCACACCATACGATCGCCTCTGGAGACTGGCACTTACATTCAAGCCTTACCTTCCGCGAATGTACACCCTACATCAGGCAACAGCATAATCACCTCTGTTGCTGCCGTTTCTCGTGCTATTGCTCTTGCCATCCGTTTAACTTCTACGACGTCTACCATCAACGTCTCTGTCGTCGTCCTTCTTCTCCCTTACCCATTCTCTTCTAGCCAACAACGAGCCTCGTTCTATCCGCATCAATACTTCACCATCGACAACACCAAAGACGATCGACTTTGTCCATCACGATGAAAATAAAAATGAAGCATGTAGCATTCTTCGGCGCCACGGAACGGACCATATTCAACAGTCTTTGCCACGCCCTTCTGGACGAAACCATCTTTTGCCATGTTCGTATGTCATTGTCATTCTCGCTGGTTCTTGTAGGCCAAACACTCACTAACTTCGTTCAGTTATTCGGGATACAGACAAGCTGAGGGCTTTGCTTGTCAGCTCGATGCCTGACCTCGCACGCGAATACTCTCTTCGTCTTCGCGTTGTTCGAGGGGACGTCTTGAGCTACGACGACGTCGCAAACGTTCTATTTCCGCCTCAGACATTGTAGGAACCTGTGGAGGTCATCATATTCGGGATATCCGGCTTCAAAATGAATGCAGGGACCACAGAGCATTCCAAGTCCGACGACACTTTGAGCGAAGATGCCGCGAGAGCCATCGGAGATGTCCTAAATCTGGGATATGAGAAATACAGCAGCGGGTTGCCAACAACGCCGCCCCGGTTTGTTGCCTTGGGCACTCTGGGGGTTGATAGCGCTTTCTGGGCGACCTCCGATCCGACTGCTATCAAGTTGAGACGTAGCTGCCGGTGGTTTTACGACAATTCCTTCCACAAGGATCTGTACGGGATGGAAAAGTTTGTGGCTATCGAACTTGGTGAGCTTTGCCGCAACACGTTGGTTGTCCGACCTGGGTTCCTCACCGACGACGACCCAAAGGTTTTCATCGTCCACATCGGTACCGTGATGAGCCCGCCATCAGGTTTTACCATTAGCAGAACGACTTTAGGCGAGTGGCTGTTCCGGCATGGCATTTTTGGCAACTTGCAAGGCATCATCAGTATCACCGGCTCTTGAAGAATTAGTGGCTGGTCATAAGGGCAGGGTGGACGAAGGTGAAGTAGAGGAAAACGGCCGTGGAAGACGACGGCCAAGAAGGACGATGACAGAAAGGACAATGATAGAAGTATCACCTTTAAGAGATTCCGTGACTTGTAGACCGCAAATTATTCCTTGCTCCATGTGGCCAAGCCTTTGATATCTCGTGTGCCATGACCTGGCCCTGTAGAAAACACCAAAAAAGTATCAAAACGCTTGATATTCAAATCTGATTTGGTGGCAAACAAGCCGAGTATCGTCGCTTCCATCGCGTGTTCATGCGGGGAATCGAATTGCCTGTTTTGTATAGTGATCTGATGTTTGATTGGCCTCGACAAGGATGGTCAACTGTGCAGCGCGTGAAAGACGTGACGTGACATACACCTTCAAAACCCTCCACACAATTATGCAATGTGCAAGCTGTGTATTTAGGTCAACGGAAATTGCCAGGTGTTATTTGAAAAGCGGAGGGATGACCTCCGCATGGCAAGTTCACGCTCAACCTCATTTAGACGAAAGCTTAGCCTGGCCTACGGCTGCTCCCTCGTGGCTGACGGTGGCCGGACATCATCATGCCTGATCACGGATATTTCCAGTAGTTTGCTCCTCTCGCAGCATGTTTGGGGACGTCATAGGTCAAGCTCTGCGGGTACACTTCTCAGCTGCTGACGGTTTGAGTCAAGAATTCTGTTGCCTGGCGGTGGCTGTGGACGGTTTGTCACTAAAAAGCTTGTCATGTTAGCAGACTAATGAACAGGATCCTCAGAAGCGATCGAGCCAACTAGATTATGCGTCTCGCGCTTATTCCTTTCTATGAAATTTGATGAGTAATTGCTTAGCAAGTTAAGTTGTACGGAATTCCTGAGGGACAGTTGTGAACTTGTAAGCGTTACAGGTTAGTACAGAATCAAGATCGGTGCGGTTTGGAGCATAGTTCCAAGCTTATACTTCATATTCAACAGATCTAACAGCTTGGACAATTTCTTTACACGTTTATCGTTCGAATACCCAAAAGCAGGTCGCTTCATTGACCTTGAACCCGCTGTTGTCATGAAACTTGAATTATTTTACGTGATAAGCGCCGTATCTCATGCTCACCATTCACAGCCGCCTTAGCGTTCCCTGAGTGATACATCCATAGCCCGTTGTAGAGGACTGAGACATACCCCTAGAGAGTAAGACCGACGTGCGGGAGGAAGCGCCACAATTTCCTTTTCGGTATTGTTTCCTCAAAGGTGGCGACCGGTTGTGGCATCCAAGCCCTAGGGAGGATCACGGGCGCATCTGCTGATACACGGCAGTTCCACTACTTCGGTTCAGTGTTCCGGCAACTGGCAAGAGGCGGTGGGGATAATAGATCTTCGCCAGCTCTTGGACTGCGGCTCAACGGAAGATCTGGTGTAACAGTGAGACCATGAGATCATTGAGGTGTGACGGCAAGGGTCAATATTGAGAACGAAGAATGCCTTGAGATTGAGCGCTAAAAATGCTATCACACGCCATCGCTATGCCTTTCCACCCATTAATGTACAATTTGATCACTATGTAACCATAGCACCTCACCTGTTGAAGTAGTAAAACATGTCGTCAACATCGCCCCCTGCCGTGACCGCCTCAGGAGGCAGACTCACACCGCCCAGCTGCCACTGCCAATGAGGCCCCATGTTCACTGGCTCCATATTCATGTCAGCGGACATTCTTGTTTGGTTGGTACCCCATTCTCCAGGAAACACTACATCAGGATTCATCATGCCTGTTAACGAGAGGTCAACTGACGGCTGCGCCAAAGTAGCGGTATTCATGGATGGCGTAAAATAATTGTTCCATTCTTGCGGTCTAGCTTCAGGACTGCTGAATGCGGGAAAAGGAGTCTGGTAGGATTCGGCTGATGATGTGGGAATCATTGGCGCAGACATAGCGCCGATCATCGAGGATCGGGCAGATCCTATAGCTGTTGGAGCCGCAGAGATGTACTCGCTAGGTGGACTGTGTGACAAAAACGAGTTGCGGCGAGAGCATGTGGTCGATGAGGTAGCTGATTGTGGACGGATAGGCATGGGACTGAGACTGAGAAGTCTATCACCGTCGCTTGGAGTCTTGAAGTCACCACCGAAGGCTCTCAAAACGGCTTTCAGATGCTTCTTGATGACTCGTAGTTGGCTCCCGCCAGGAACAAAGTCTGAAGCGGCGATATCCACAAGCCGAGAGGCGAGGGCTTCAAGACGAATATCGTATGTGTCCAACTGTGGATTCATCGCGTACGCCCCAGAGGCCTTTTGTGCGTAGATGAAAGACATACTGCGAGCGCAGGCGTCCATAATCGGGCAGAAGATGTCAGGAATGTTGCTCCTGTTCTGCACTGGCAAAGATGGAAGTACCAGATCTTCATGATTGTCATTTTGGAGCAGTATACTGGCTGATTGTTGTGCAGAAAGAAGGAAACTCTCGACGTCCGCTTCATTCAGAAGCAAGGAACCTGTCAGCGGTGATGCTCCGGTAGATGGGAAGAGTAAGTGTATCGACATGGTGTGGTACATTGCAAGGACGAAGTAACGCGAAGGATCGGGCGCCGGTTGGAGGTTTACCACGAAAATGTTCTCCGTCAGCACTCTGGAAGCTTCGTGACAAACGGCTGTCGCATTCTCCGGGCAGCCGGTTTTGAGATACGCGTTGAAGATGTATGCCGCTGTGCTAGCGATATGAGCCAAGGGCCAGAGGTCTTTGATCATTTCCTTCTGCTTCTGGAGCGTTGAAAAGTTATCGGAGATCTCGTCGAGCCGCATCAATGCGGAAGAAGACTCATCGGCGGGCAGGAGGATTGAAGCTACGCTTGTGTGTTGCAGTTGAGAGAAAGGATTGCGTGTTTGAAGCGAGATCCAAAGATTGAGAGCGTAAGTGGTCCAGTAAAGGTAAGCCGCGATCTCTTTTTCCACTTCACAGACCTCGATGCCATTGATACGGCTTGTAACTAAGGAGCCCCCAAATGTGGAGATCCTCTCTTTAATCTCAGTAGCTATACGGCCAGCGAGGTCGATGTAGCAGGTTGCGCGGCGGATTCGTTTCTGGCACAAGGCGTTCCAGCCAAGAAGCATTAGAGCTTGCGCCGTAGAAAGACTGGGAAGCGAGACTCCGTCTCCAGGCAAGCCCGGCTGGGTGGCTGCAGTCGGCACTGGGCGATTATGAAGTTGAGAAGCCGCCCAACTCAAAAGTGTGTGAGCCTTTCCCACGGCAACTTCGTCTCCGAGTGACATGGAGGCGTCAGCAAGTATGACGGCGAGGAGAATCTCGTCGTGGGTGCTGTCTCTGAGTGCCCGCAGAAGGAGAGTCTTTGATACGAGAAAGGAGAGCGGGTGGATGCTGTACCACACATCAACCAGCTGTCCGATTTGCCGGGTGCCGTATTCTGACAGTGGACTCGGACCTGACAATGTTGCGTCGAACATTGTCGGGGTTGTGTCGCTGGCGAGGGTACCCGAGTAGAATCTTCCACCGCCGTGTTCCAAGAACGTTGATCCTAGAACTCCGACCTTATCGACAACTAGGCTGACCAAATCGTGAGCGAGGAAATGAAGAATGCTTGTATACTAGAATCAGGAAGATTAGGCTTTGAGTTTTGAAAGGTATCAGAGCCTCGTACCTGCGGATCTCTTTGAAAAGATTTGGAACTGCTGTTTCCACCCTGTCCTGATGGGTTGCGTTGAAGCGCATGGCTGAAGGTGGCATCATTGCCTTGAAACTCTGGCTTTGTGCCGAGGCCTAGATCTACTTGAAAGTTTTCCTGAAATATTTCTTCCAAGACCGTTGCCACATCCTCGCAGTCTAATGAGACCATTGCATTCTCCGCTGATAAAGTCGGATCCTCTGGAAATAAGGTGGAGCGGGAGGAACCGGCAGTGGAAGATCGTTGGCGTCGCATCATAGGTACGGAGATGGTTCCATCAGCGTTGCTGTTCCTTCGACTGCCATCGCGAGAAATCGGGCGAGCTTTTGTTGGTCGTGAGTCCCAATCGTATACACAGTCGACATTCTGCTTGCGGCAAGCTTCGCAAATGGTCTCGTTGGAGCACTTGATCTTTCGAGCTCTGCAAAAAGCGCAGCTCTTTCGAAGGGGATGTCTAGACGTATGAGACATGGCGGAGTTTGGCTAAGAAGTGGTTGTTAGGACGTAGGATGGGTGTAAGTTGAAGTTCATCGGGATCCGTGTACTAAGAATGCGTATTATCGGAGGGAAGAGGTCGAGGACAAATTTCGATGAAAGTGATGAAGTATGAATATACCAAAGCGACATTTTTTTCGTCCAGGGAGAACCCTTATGTTATAAGTTGTCAGGCGATAAGTGATGCCAATCCAGTCCAACGGGCTGGATATGACCCGGCATCACGACACTATGCCCCAGCGGCTCTAGGGGCTGACGAGCGAAAGGCGTGAGCTCATCTTGGAACCGACTATCAGAATAAACTGTCGCGTCAGCAGCCCATCAGACTGGCGTGGAACAACGTATCGTGGTGCCTGATCTGTACATCGGTAGTCTGTCTTAGCTCTTTGCGGTCAGTCGGTAACGCTAGCCGACGTCTAAGACAGGCGCGCGCCTGCGCCGCCGTCGAGTTGTGCAAACGTCGTGCGCTTAGGTGCACAAAAATGCATTGGTCTGGAGTTGTGTCAGCCCTAAAGAAGATACATAATCTGCGTCAAGCGTTATGTATCTGACGGTATCGCGACAACTGGACTAGCGTTGTCTAGGCGGTTCTCGACCGCCTGTTCCCCACGCGAGCAGAGACGATGATAGAAAAGCTATGAGATGGTCCGAGGCTGTGCTAATCCGGTGGACTCTCTTCTTGGTGCCATCTAGGCACCTGTTTTCTTTTCGGGAATCTGGCCGCTCTCTGAATGGTTCTGTGCGATCCGTCCACATCGGGAAAGTGTGGCTGTAAAGCCAGCCATCTAAGTTTCAAGGATCAGAAGGGGCTGAATGACTTTTCACATCAATCAGTTCACACCTGGACGTCAAAGTTCTTGAAATGTGATTTTATGTGGTCATTGGTTAAGAATCAATTTGTTGTAACCTGTTGCCGCTTCTACACGGAATTCGTTGGCCCGGTCGTCGACTTCTCCATCCTCACTAATACCACTTTCTCCCTGCAGTTCTCTCATATTTGAGCCCAAGTATCGCATAAGCCTTTTCGATACTAGTTGAAGTGAAGCCAGCGCCTCGAGTAAGCCCTTCATGACCTTCACACTGTGTCCAACTCTGAATTGGGGCTGAGGTAGCATGAGAAAACCGGACGTAAGCTATCAATGGCTATTCATCTGCCCTGCCAACCAGAAACCATCTCTCTTCGCATCTGCCACAGGGATTCAGGATCAACAACCCCGCAGGGAAGGTCTAACAACTCAACTGCATGGCCTTGAGAGTTTACGTGCGTCGAGAGAAGCTCTCTCTTGACTTGAAGGTCATGCTGCCCTTGCTTGCGAGCCACCTTCGTCCAATCCTGAATCGTGCGAGAATCAAGCTTGAGATCCCATGTTCCTCGCCACGTAACTAAGGCGGGGTTCACCTGGTATGAGAACTTACAAGCCTGTCTCTGGCCGGTGCTCCACAGTGTCAACGTGTGTAGTCTTGGCATGGAAAGCGCAGCTTTTGCAGCATTCTGCAAGAGATTAAAAACATCCTCGAGTTTGGCTTTGTGAGAAAGCGTGTCAGATGTGAGAACCAACGACTGCAAGTGTTCCCAGACCCATGATGGCTGACACGATTTGAAAAAGTCCCTGGCCTCAACTATGAATGCGGCAGAGAGGTGTTCAAGATTGAGGCTTCTAGTTGCAACGGCAGAGCTCACCACGCGTGATGCGACGCGCGGCATGCCATAACCGAAGGATGGGTAGGACTCGTCGAAAATTTTGGCGTAAGGTTCGCTTGTTTCTTCAAACAATGATACGCTTTTCAGCGTACTTGGTAGGTGCAGCCTAGTCAAGTCGCAATAACCTATGAAACCTCAGTACAGATCAAATCAATACAAACAATAATGAATGCCCGCGAGAGATAATTCAATCAATTCTTATCTCTTTCATCGACAGACTTCTGTATCCACACATTCCATCGTTCCCATGGCTCGTAGATCAGCGATTCCAAGCAAGGTAGTCTGTTTAGGAGACGCTCTAGAGCTCCAAGCTCGAATTGACGACGGCAATGCCGACGGAGTACAAACTTAGTGACTGCATGTACCGATGGTAGGTCGTCGGTAAATTTGGGATAGATTGGCTCAAATATCCGGGATATTGACTCTGATTCAGGAGCTTGAACCTGTACGCCATCGATCCAACCATGCTTTGGGTCCTGAACGTCAGCGGAAGTGATCTCGGCCGACTCAGACGCAGAATAGTGGACATTTGGATATCCATTCTCATTATCTCCTCCGAAGTAGAGATTTTTGAAGGCGTGTTCCCTGTCGCTAGGTGACTGGGCACTCAGCTCCAGTGTCAGCTCACTACCGGCTTGCCATTGATGCAAGATGGAAAACAACTTTAAAATGGCCTCCCTGGCCACCTGGGCGTTGCCTTTTTGCCATTTCTCGCCCTCAGTCCGTCGGCAGGTTCTGCATGAGTATCGCCGTAGCTCGATATTCAACCAGATGTGTTTGACTAAATGCCGCGATCGAACTATGTTTTGTAAGCCATCTACACATGAAGTTCCAAGTTTGAGTTGGCGAAAATTCTTTCTTTCGATCTCATATTGCCACTCTCTACAAACTGAGGCGCAGATGGCCCATCCGCGTTTCGTCTGCATAAGATGGTGGATGATCATTAAACGAAGCTCTGCTGGTAATGAACTCCACGTTGGCATTTTCGATATATTGCTGGACTACTTTTTGCTTGATCCGTGAAGTCGAAGTTGGTGATTAGGATACAGGTTGAATGGAAGGGGAAAAGACTGTTGAAATAAGAGGTGGTGTTGACGTGGGATTGAGGATGAGGAACGGACTGGAAGCCCGGCGCCAGTGACGGTGTTTTATTCACGTGGCTAAGATAAGCTTTTTCGTCGGTGAGGACCTTGCGAAGCCATCTTCGTACGAGTCACGGCGACGCTGGCGACCTTGTTGGTAGTGAGGCTATCGTCAATTGTTGTATGCTCCGGTAACTCCAAAACTTTGCGATAATCGGCGGTCGGAACAACAGGCACTGCAAAAGCTGTCATTTTCAAATTGTCTTCTCTCGGAGAACTTGATGCCCGTGTAGTAGCACGATCCGATAGTTATGGTTATGACGTTTCCGTGCAGAGATGAACTCCGAGCTGAAGTGGCTGTGGTAGGCTGGAGCCAACGGAAGACGAGAAAGGCTCTCAGTAAAGCTGCACCAACTATCGAGAGGAGACTATTGGTCCAAAGATTCTGTTTGGTGTATATATAGCAGCCTATTGACCAGGTCCCTTGGAGACGGACAAGCAAAATGTGAGCTGACTGGCGTGGGGGCCAATGCAAGCAGGTAGGCAGCGAGGTCACAGTCCCTGGGACTAGAATAGCCGACGCGTGGCTGCGGCACAGCGATTCAATCAAGATCGAAGTAATAGCATCGTAGCAGCTTTATAAGTCGTGGAATACATGACATCCGTCATCCTCTTCTTGGTTTTCAGGGCTTTCGGTAGTCTCTAGTCTCTAAAATGGTCTCGAATCGTACTCTTCGAATGAGTCTACACGGGCTTCGAACTGTGTCCAACTCTACACCGGGGCACACTTGGCCTGAAATGATCAACCGCCTTTACTCTTCAGATCTTCCAGATGTCACAGTCCCGTTAGAGTACGATTACGATTCAAATGTACAGCAGTCAATTATCTCAACATGCCAATCCTCTCTTTTCGACAACCCTCTAGGGATCTACGACTGCGCTGCTTTAGCGGTGTCAGCGCTACTCATACAAAAGTACAATTATACTTTGGATCCTGCATCCGCAACTGAAGCAAACAACTTTCTAAAATTTGGGGATTTGGCTTCGTTCGATGGTCTTGGAACTCTCCAGCGGATCCTCAGTTGTGTTGACGCCTCAGAGCCCAGCGGGATGACAGCACATGGGCGTCTACCGGAAACTGAATTCGGTACCTGGGCGTTGAATAGCACGAGCTATTACCACTTTCATGAGATCGAAGAGAGTCTCAATGATACCCTGGACTACTTGAAGCCTCTCTGCTCCCAGGTGAGGTCACCGGAAGCTGATATTGCCGGGCCCGGTGTAAGTACATGGCTTCTGGGCAAAGTCTTTATCTAATGATATTACAGGTCACAGTTTCCTACATAATTCAAATAGGACTGCTCGTATGGTTCTTCATTTTGTCTTTACTGATCCCTCAAGATTCAATCTACTCAATGCCCGTGAAGGCGTTAGCTGCATTAGGGCGGTTCAGGAGAGGCAACGAACAGCAACACTGCTCTACCACGGTGTATGTGATGGAACGATTGCGAGCCTCCAGATTTGCCGTGGCTTTATACTCATCCATCATCGACTTCCAAGAAGCACAAGCCTTCTTCACGTTGGCAGTGCAACTAGCTACGATTGTCATGTTCATGACCGACCAGGTCCCCGTCATCCGCATCGACTGGCGGGCGGCCCGGATCTACTCGGCTGGAAACACGCTTGTTGTCCTTCTCATGCAGTCAGAAATACAACGAAAAGGGATGAGATGGTGGTATATGTTCTTTCTCACCTTCGCCGTCGGCGTTCTGGGCATGGTGATTCGAAACCTTGGCTCAGAAGCGCCAATCACGCTGGGCGCGATAGCCAAGTGCGGCAATCGGAGTCGAAACATCATGCAGACGTGCTACAACAACGGATCGTCTGCTTTCAGAGATGCATTTCGGGACGAAGACCGGGGTGGGTCGGACTACTTCATCAGCTTCTTGTTCAGCACAGTCGTCCTATCAATTGACCAGCTAGGACACATCCCGCGCCTGCGGCGGAGTCTTCAATCGAAACTGGAATACTGGCCGGGCAGACTCCCTCTTTTTATCTCGCTCCTGCGGTTCGGTTCGGTCATCTGGGGTGCTACATGGTTTGTATCGAATGTCCTGCTAGCTTCACTCCTCATGAGAAACGCAACAGCGATCCTCAACGAGATGGGAGGTTTAGTATGGGACAGGGATAAATGGACGTTTGGTCAGATCATAGCAGTGCTGCCATGGGCTCCAGTGATATCTAAGTACCTATACTGCAGTATTTGTAAGTCATTTCCAAGGGAACTTTGGCTCTGCCGAAATGACTGATATTGACCGCATAGTTGGCATCATTCATGGCGTAGGGAGCCGGATAGACGATCATTACGAAGTCGTCCTCAGCGAAAGATGCCTGCTGAGAGAGCTGTCTCGGCTTTCAGAGTACGAGGGAGAGTTTCAAACGACTGACTACGATAATTTGCCTAATGTGGAAGGCGGCCGAGGAGACGGGAAGGGGCCGGATCGGGACTCGGAGGAGTGGAGCCATGTTTCTTTGGACAGCGGCGAGAATTCCGTCGAATCCCCCGGGTCTTCCACACAGAGATTGCTCATGCCGAGTCCTTGCTGGTCTCCCACCAAATATGTCCATACTTTACGTCGAGAACTATCTGTACGACAGTTTAATATACAGTAACAGAGTGACAACCCCTCCGAGCTCATGATCTCGATGGTGAAAGCTAGGATCAAGCGCCGTCACCCCATCATCGCCACCATTCCCGATACTCTCAGGAACCAAACCAACCTACCCCACATACCAATCACTTCCCGCGATCGAACAAATTACACTTCGTCTAGGCATCATCCAGCCCTCTCGCTGCACATCTCCCGCGAATGTATATGGGTCAAGATCAACGTCCCGTCCTGTGCCAAACTCTACGTTCCCCAAATCAGGGGATTTCTCCATCCACGCCCCCTCCTTCATCGATGTTAACAAGGTTCGCCATCCGGTATCCCACCGAAGAAATGGCTTCTTTCGTCTCATAACTTTCCAACAGGGTGGAACTCGTCGTGGTAATTCTCAGCAGCACTCGGATTCCTAGCGGAATCTCTCCCACCGGATTCTCTGGATATGGTATTCCAATCGGCGAGCGGATTTCGCAGGGTTCAACTTTGCCTGAGTGAAAAATGCATATGATTGAACCTACCTGCCAAAGCAAACAGGCCCATATTCTTATGAGCCCACCAACTGCTCTTTTCTAAGGTCTCGCATCTAGAAACATGTCGTCTGCCATCCCATCTACACCTGCAAAGCCATGTCCTCCCGATTGGCATGGCTGCCCTTCCTCCATGCCTCTGTATGATCCCTTCCTGCCGTAACTCCCTTGGCCTCCCCAACCTTGCCCCATCCACCACCGCCAGGCGTGTTCACAATGATTCTCTCCCCGGGCTTCATGGGCGCGCTGTTCTTGGCACCCAGATTGAACCTTCTCTCCTCGTACTCCGCGTCTTCCTCCTCCTGCTGGCTAGCCCCCTTCAGCCTCTTGAGACTCTTCTCCCAGCTGCCCTTCTCGACCTTCCTAACCCACACGTTCAGCCCCGCCTCGCCATCCTCTCCGCCCGCAAGACCGTACGGCCGGTAGACTCTCCGTTCACTGAGGATAGACACCTGCACCGGGATGCGGAACTCAATATCCCTAATAACACCATCACCTCCCCGATGCTGCCCATCTCCCCCGCTTCCCTTCCTCAGCGAAAATTCCCTCAAAATAACGGGATATCTCCTCTCGAACACCTCCGAATCAGTGATGCGCGTGTTCGTCATGTGTGTATGCACCCCGCTCGTGCCCTCCCACGTAGGCCCAGCACCGCTGCCACCCGCGATGGTCTCGTAGTACCCGAAGCCCTTGACCTCCTTCTGGCCCGTCAGATTGCCCCCGAAACCAAACGTGAGGTTATTGCAGTCGCCCTGGCTGGCGGCACACGCCTGGAAGGCCTTGAAGATGACATCCGTGACGCGCTGGCTTGTGAGCACATTCCCTCCCACAACCGCGGCCCCGTCTGAAGGAGAGAGAAGCGACTTGGGCGGGATCTTGACGTTAATCGGCTTTAGACACCCCTGGTTCAGGGGAATGTCCTCCGAGATGAGGCATCTGAGGCAGTAGATGATGGCGCTGTACGTCACGGCCTCAGGGGCGTTGACGTTTCCGTACACCTCTGGCCCGGTCCCCTCAAAATCAAACACCGCCTCGCCCTTGTCCGCATCAATCGTGACCTTGAGCCTGATAGGGCTACCGTCGTCCATGAAGTCGACAGCCTGCAGATCGCGCCCCTCGAAGCGCTTGCTGACCTGTTTCAACAGCGTCCGCACGCAGAGCTCGGCGTTGTTCTGGATGTTGACCATATAAAACTGCACCGTCTCCTCGCCGTACTCCTCAATGAGTCCCTCGATGAGAGCGATGCCCTTCTGATTAGCTGAGACCTGCGCCCTGAGGTCGTTGATATTATCCGCTAAGCAGCGCGTGCCGCTGCAGCCGGGGTACTGGGCGGGCTCGTTGTACAACAGCTCCGTGACACGCTTCTCGTCGAAGCGGCCTTCGCTGACGAGCTTTTCGCTCTTGATCGCCGCGCCCTCCTGGTAGAGTTCTTTGGAATGCGGCGGCATGCTGCCGGCCGTGATACCGCCAATGTCGGCGTGATGGGCCCTGGAAGCAGCGTAGAACAGGATTTTGTCGCCCTTCTCGTTGAATGCAGGCATCACGAGCGTGATGTCCGGTAAGTGGGTGCCGCCGTAGGATGGGTGGTTGGAGATGATGACGTCCCCCTTTTTGAGGTCACCCTTCCAGATCTCGGCTTGGCGCTTCACGCATGTTGACATGGAGCCGAGATGAACGGGGAGATGCGGCGCGTTGGCCACGAGCCCTCCACCTGCGTCAAAAATTGCACAGGAGAAGTCGAGGCGTTCCTTTACATTTGTGCTGACACTGGTCTTTTGGAGGGCACGCCCCATCTGCTCCGCGATGGCCATGAAACGATGACCAAAGATACTTAGCATAATGGGGTCGACGTCTCGTTCGCCGTCCTTCTTAGCGGCTCTATATCTGTCGTCAGCTTCACCATCCTTTTTATTTTTTTCTTCGCCGTCGACGACAGAAACGACCCCACCAACGGGGATCAGAAAAGAAAAGAAGAACTTACCCATCATCCTTTGAGCCTTCCTTTTCAATATCAATAACAACGTGGGTATCGAGTATGAGAGCTGTGGCTTTCGGCGTCACCACAATCGTTTGTGTTCCGTCCGCCAGCATGGCAGGCCCCTTGATAGTCTCGCCTGTACTGAGATCCTCGAGCTTGTAGACAGGCGTATCCAGCCGTCCCTCCTCGAAATACACCTTTTGTCGGTCCAGCGCCTTGCTGACCTCCACATCCTTCCGCTCAAGCACCTTCAACTGCTGATCCACAGTCTTCTCGGAATGCCTGAAGCTCTTGCCGATGCCCCTCACACGCACATCGTCGACAATGATATCGCGCTCATCCAAGGTAAACCCGAACTCGTAGCGGTGCTGGCGGACGAACGCCGTTCCAAAGTCCCACTCGTCGCCGTCCTTGCCGCCTTCGGGCTTGATAATCATCAGTGCAGACTCTGTGCCGCGGTACCTCATATTGAGGTACTCCTCGAACACAATCTCTTTGTCCTCGAATCCCTGCGCCTTGAGCGCCTCGCGCGACTTCTCCTTGAGCTTCTCCATCTTGCTCCGCAGCTCGTCGGCCGCCTTCCCGGGGTACTCCCACACCTTGGAGTCGGGCTCCTGCCTCTCGTCGACAACGTCGGCCAGAGCCATCCCGTACGCCGACAGCACGGACGAATACCGGTGGATGAGGATCTGCTTGATGCCCAGCGCCTCGGCGATGGCGACGGCATGCTGCCCGCCGGCGCCGCCAAAGGTCGCCAGCCGGTGCTTGGAGGAGTCGTGGCCCTTGGCTTCCGTAATGGACCGGATGGGTCGCGTCATGGTCTCGTTGGCCACGGTCAAGAACCCGTACGCCACCTCGTCGACGCTCATGTTCTTGCCAGTCTCCTTGTTCACTTGGTCGGCCAGCTCTTGGAGGACCTTCTTGCTGGCCTCGGGGTCGAGCCCCTGATCCTCTTTTTCGCCAAAGATCTTGGGGAAGAACTCGGGTAGCAGGCGTCCCAGATAGAGGTTTGCGTCGGTGACGGTCGCAGGGCCTCCCTTACGATAGCATGCTGGGCCTGGATGCGCTCCGGCTGATTCCGGTCCGACGACGAACAATCCGTTCTTCCAGAACAGCATCGAGCCGCCTCCCGCAGCCACAGTGTTGATATCCAATTGCGGCGACTGGATAGTGACTCCGGCAGTGGTCGTTTCGAAGACGTGCTCATACCTACCCTCGCCAAACCTCGACACATCCGTACTGGTACCGCCCATATCGAACCCGATCACAGGAACCTTGGTCTCTTCGTCATACGACGTAATCGCATACCCGACGACGCCGCCCGCCGGCCCAGACAAAATGGCCTTCAGTCCAGTGAAGTTCTCCACGTCCACCAGGCCGCCGTCACTCTGCATGAACTCGCACCTCGCACCTCTCGCCCCCTCCTCTTTCTGCACACTCCTCGTCCCCAGACCACCTTCAAAGCCAGCCTGGAAGCCGGAAATGTATTTCTTTATCGCCGGTGTGAGGTACGCGTCAGCACAAACCGACGTAGCTCGCGAGACCAACTTGATCATCGGCATCAACTCATGGCTGAGCGAGATGTGCTTGAACCCAATCTCCCTCGCGATCCTCCCCAACAATGCCTCGTGGTCGGGGAACGTATATCCATGCATCAGACAAACCGCCACGCTGCGGATCCCTTGGTCATACACCTCCTGCAACTGCCTCCTCACCCCATCCTCCTCAGGCCTCCTCAATATCCTCACAGCCTCCCCGCTCGTCCCCCTCACCAACTCCGCCTTCCCAGCCTCCGCTGTCCCCGCCCTCACCTCAACCTCCGTCAACGTCCTTGCCGGATCCTCCGCATAATCCTCTAACGTCACCCGCTCCTCCACCTCCACGACTGTCTCGTACAACACATCCGGCTTCCGGATCGCCAAGTCGAAAATCTTGGGCCGGCTCTGGTTCCCGATCGCCAGGCAGTCCTTGAAACCCCTCGTAACGACCAGCGCGATCTTCTCGCCCTTGCGCTCCAGCAGCGCATTCGTCGCTACCGTCGTGCCCATACGGATCGAGTCGATCTTGGCTGTGTCGAGCGGCTCCCCGCGAGGGATCTCGCGGCCCAGGAAGTGCGACATGATGCGCCGGATGCCCTCGAGCGGCGCATCGTCGTAGTTGGACGGGTCCTCGGAGAGCAGCTTGATGATGGTCTCGCGGCCCGCGAGCTCGCCGACGCAGTCGGTGAAGGTGCCGCCGCGGTCGATGGCGATGCGAATGCCGCGGTCCGGCGGGGCTTGTGTCGCTGCTTCGGCTGCCGCCATTGTTGCTGAGGTGGGTTGGATGTGATGTCGTGATGTATTCGATGCGGGGTTCCCGTGTTAATCAGTATTTGGGCGGAGGTCGAGGTTCTGATGTTAGCTCATTCGGTGTCTTTTTTTCTTTTTGTTCAATTGAGCACCAGAGCCAGCGAGGACTTACTGGGGAAACGACAACTCATTCAAATCGAGAAGACGGTAATGA